CCTACTTCTGTAGTGATACTGCCTCAGAAACCCAAGGAGGGGTCGCTATGAGTCGCGTTTGACTCGACGGCACATAACAACAACATCAACAACAGGCACCTCACCAACTTCCCAGGTCCAGTCATATCTCTTTATCTTTGCTGAAGCTGTTTCTGCTACTTATGCTACCCAACTTGCTCACCTTCTCCCAGGTCCTAGTCTCTCTTTTCTTTGAGCTTCCTGAGATCTGACAGTGGGACCCACATGCCTTTGGCTTTAATCACTCCCTGTCCCACACTATTCATTGTCTACTTCCCAGAGGGATGTCTCATTATCCATTTAGATTGCCTAAGGCATTTGACTGCTAACCAGGAGGCTGGAGGTTCAAATCAACCAGCCACTCCTCAGAAGGAAGATTGGGCAATCTACTTCCATAGAGACACCACCTCGAAAACCCAAGGAGGGGTCGCTATGAGTGGAAATTAACTCTACGAGAGTGAGTTTTTTTAATACAGAACTCCCCATGTTCTTACTACAGGGAAAGAAAGGTATGAGTTGAAAATGGTTGATGGGTTGAGGAAGACTTCAGTAATTGTCTGAGAGATCTGATCAAAAGGCAAAATCAGAGCAGCAGCTTGTGCAAATTCTTGGAAATAAATATTTGAATTATTGATAAAAATATTTTAGCAAAATTTTTCTGAGTGTTTGCTTTAAATTGGAGGAAATTCGGGCCCAAAGAGAAATGTTCCATAATACATGTGGAGAAATCAACTGTCCTCTTTCCACTAGGAAATGGGAGGGAAAAACAGAAGGCTGAAGGGACATCTTTGGATAAAATGTAATAATGGTATTTCAGGTACTGTGAGAGGTGAGGGGAGAGGAGAAATGAAGGGAGCATTTTAGGAATTTCCATCATTACAAACTTTCCATTTAGACACCCATCAGCTTCCATGAAACTCAGGTAGTCCTTGGGACTGTGGGCATTCTAGAAGGTGGCCTGGATGGAGCCTCCAGCTTTCCAGACACTAACTGTGTCAGAAAAGAAGATGATGTTGAAGTAGTCATTGGCCCACAGATCACTGAGGATAGCACCCATGGCTTTCGCAGTCTGTGGGCTATGGATGAGGTGAAGACTTAAGGTCTATAAGATCAAAGGGCTCTTTATGTACAAGGCAATAAGGTCTATGTATTGTATTTAAATTTAAATGTAAATTCCTTAAACTTAAATAAAAATTAAAGATTAAGTTCTTCACTTTCAGTAGCCATGTTTCAAGTGTTTGATAGCCACATATGGCTAGTGGCTACCATATAGGACAGCACCAAATTTTAGAATATTTTCATCATCAATAAGGTTTTACTGGACAGTGCTGGTCTAAAAGGTTTATGCTCTATTCTTTCAGAGCTCTAGTAACCACGTGTTCTTTGGTTCCTGGACCCCATGACCTAAGATTCAATGATTCCAAGATTCTGAAATTTAAGAGTTTTATGATTTTAGATCTTTATAGGTGCCTTCCATGCCTTGGTTCTGTTCCATCTAACCTGTTCTATCACACCTTCTGTTTCTGCCAGACTAATCTTCTCATGAACCCCTAGAAAATCCAATTTCCATCTGTCTTCATAATTTTATTCTTGGTGTGGTCTTCAGATAGAGTACCCTCCTACTTCCCCTTTACTTATTGATATCTTCACTGTTCTTTCAGTTGATCATTCTCCAGGAAGCCTTTCTTTGAGTTGCCTACTCTGACTCATGCCCTGTTCACCCAGATATTTCCAGTTCCAGAATGTTCTCTGATTGTCTTATGGTAGAATATTTTCATTTTCCATCCAGATACGGAGCTCTGTGAGAACAGGGTGTGTTGTTGTTGTTGTTGTCGTTAGATGCCGCCAAGTTGTCTCCAACTCCTAGCAACCCTATGCACAGCAGAACGAAAGACTGCCCAGTTCCACGCCAGCTCCATGATCCCTGCTATACTTGAGCCCATCACCACAGCCACTTGTTGAGGGCCTTCCCCTCCTTCGTTAACCCTCCAGCTTACCAAGTATGACATCCTTCTCCAGGGAATGGTCACTTCTTACAACATGACCAAAGTAGGGGAGACGAAGTCTGGCCATTCTTGCTTCCAAGGAGCATTCAGCTGCACTTCCTCCAGGACAGATTTGTTAGATCTTTTAGCAGTTCATGGTACTTTCAACATTCTTCACCAGCACCACAACTCAAAAGCATCAAATTTCTTTGGTCTTCCTTATTCATTGTCCAGCTCTCACATGCATATGAGGCAATTGAAAATACCATAGCTTGTGTCAGGTGCACCTTAGTCCTCAAGGAAACATATTTGCTCTTTAGCACTTGAAAGAGATACTTTGTAGCCAATTTTCCCAGTGCTATATGTCATCTGATGTCCTGACAGCTGCTTCCATTGGCACTGATTGTAGAACCAAGTAATGTGAACTCTTTGACAACTTCAATTTTTCACCCATTTATTGTGATGCTACTTATAAGTCCAGTTCTGAGAATTTTTGTTTTCTTTCTATTGAGATGCAATCCATACTGCAGACTGTATTCTTCAATCTTCATCAGTAAGTGCTTCAGGTCTTCTTCACTTTCAGCAGGCACAGTTGTGTCATCACCGTATCAC